TGTTTGTTATTTGTTTATGTGATATGCGTTTTCAATATTTTACATGATATTCTTTAATTTCAGATGGGAATATCTGCTGTTAACTCTACATTCAAATCAAGTATACCAGAAAATGCTGATATATTGGTTGCAGTTGTATATTCAATATTTGGTAAGTATACCTTTTAATGTACCTTTGTACTAAAACACTGTACAAACTTGTGATACACCTGTTGTGGGATGTCATAAAGACCCCCCCCCCACTTCCTGGTTTTAAAATTTACACCTGACCAATTGTCTCACACCAACCGGTCATGTGATTGATGACAGCAGGTCATTCTCCACAGCCTTCTGGGGAATGGAGTTCAGACAGGTGTCCCCATCTTGTCTGCACCTACCTTCCTCTCCCAGTACTGTTACTGCTACAGAAATGTTAAGTTAATATTATGCTCTCTCATGGAGAAAATGATGGTGATACAATACTTAAAAAATGTACTAAAATAATGCTAATGCAAAATAGAAATGTGAAAATCTGCAAGAAGTATAATGATTATTTTAAATAAAGAACCTTAAAGAGGACAGAATTGGGTATACTAAGTATTTTTATATGGCTTCAAGGAAGGGGATAAATGTAAGAATTTAAATTAGGAAAAACTCAGATGAAATTGAAAAAAAGTCAGTACAGACAAGGATTATCTTATGCTGAAAAGCTAGTGGTTGAAAGTTTAGAAGCCTATGGCTATTTTGCAACCAAATCATCTTGCTATTTTACTGCTGAATTCAGCTTCAATTCAATTGTTGCCATATCTGAAGAAAGGTGTATTTAGGTACCTGGTAGTATAGTGGCGAAGACCCTTTTAGCCTACGTCCGCCTGGAATTTCCTCCCCTTAAACATTTTGTTATATCTCTGCAGCAGAACATAGCAGGAGCCTGGTTCAGGTCTTAAATTAAAGCTTACCCCCTTGGCTTTGAGTGTGAACAGTGAAATTTCTTATATTTCTTAACCAAGATAGATCAGCTGATTCCGGTCATCAATGTATCTCACACATAGCACAGCTAAGTAAACATCTCCTTTCCCTGAAGCTTCCAAGAACTAGAAATGTTGACAATAGTCAGGTGCTGACCACTGTCCATTAGATTGACACCACAACAGCCACTACCCAATAACAATATATACACCGTACAGTAGGACAATTGTTTATTCACTTGACCATTGTGTACATAAATCATCTTTTAATATTTTAATTACAAATACAACAGAAGAAAAAAATGTACCTAATTACACACATGATAGGAAAGGAACACTAGTAAATTAGAAAAGCTGAAAACTATGAGTAAGCCATTCTGCCCATCAATCTCACTTCGTTGCTTCTTGGTAATTTATTGTCAAGTAGCCTTCTTTTTTATGAATCACAACACTATAAGCAAAGCAGACAGAAGTGTTTGGAAAAGGATTTCAAGATTCATCTCTTTCTCGTCACAACAGAACTTGGACAGTAAGTGATGCTGGATCTGGATTAACAGGGTGAATTATGGAAGCACTTCAGTGCAGAACCTGGGGTTCATTCTAAATTTAGAGAGGCAGACATCTGTTGTATGTGACATTTCGGTAATAACTCTACGACAGGGATAACCTGTGGCAATGTTTGAATTGAATGTTGCTGCATAAAGGCTTCATAAGAGGTAATGATATCTGGTTTATTTATAGTGCTTAGTATGATGTGAAGTTACAACAAATGTCCTGTTTTATTCACACGTTATGTCTTTTGCACATGTCCCTATAAAGCATCAAGCACGGGATTATAACATTTTATGTAGCAGTTATGAAGGGATAAAGCCATTATGCAACAACATTCAAGTAGAGTTTTACCAAAACAGCCATTGTGTTATGTGTGTAAACATTTTCCATGGGTTCTGACACATGTGCAATGATCACTTCTAAACACCCATTTCTGGTGATAACAGATAGTGACTGGAGCTGCACTCTGACTATAAAACCTTTCTGAAAATGTACTCTGTGTGTGTCTTCTTGGATGTTCTTCAGAAAATGGCCTTTTTCATACCAAACAAACTCATTTCAAGCCTTTGCTGCACCATGCTGTGACTTATTGCATCCTATACATCATTTATGTGATGGTCAGATTCCTGCTACTGCTAATTCTAGCAACTACATCCTCAATGGCAAAACAGGCTGAAGAAATATTCTTCTGCTACCTGGATTATTATAACAACTGTTTTGCCAGACAAAGGATGCAGCAAAATTAAATCTACAGTCATCCTGGTTTCCATGTCGTATGTTCAAGGAAGCTCTCTGTCAAGATGTGTTTAGAGGATGGTATGCAGCAATTTCTCCAAAATAAAATACGTCCAGCTCCAACAGATTTACAGGTGAAAAGCAAAGGGCACTGAGAGCAGGATAGTGATCCTGGAAACTCCTATTCATAATCTGGCAAGAAGGTGATCCAGCCCTGGGCAGGGGCAGAGGAGCATTTCAGCAGCTGTAACTGTGAGTGAGCATTCCGATTTCAGATCCGTTCTTCTTCTGGAGAGGGTGTTCAAAACATAGTCTGCCTCATCGTTTCTGATGCTTCCAGCAAACTCATGAAACTCTGAGATCTACTGTTCAGGCAGTGAACACCCAGTCCTGTACATCGCACTGCCTGTACATTGACAGTGACATTATTGCCCTGAACATACCTGACGACCTGGGAAAGGGGCAACTCACAGAAAGTGGAATTGTCTATAACATTCTTCGTAATTCACGGAGCTGCATTTTCTGTCTTTAATGGAATCAGCAACCACCTTCATGAGCTCCCTGTTGCAGTTAATGACAATCTCATCCCTCCAGGTTGCCTGTGTTCCTATTTGGCTATTTCCTCATATGCAGCTAAACCTGATAGTCATGAGAAAATCAAAGACAGTTCTTTCAGAAAATTTTGCGAAGCATTCTGGAAGTTCCTCTTAATGAACGTAACAAATAGATGTCCTACAAAATTACTTCAGTAACAGATCCATTCTGCAATCACATGTACTGTAGAATAGATTTCTTTGTTTTTTTGTAGTTCTGAGCATAGTCTACAAAATAATGCATGATGCAAATGCGAGATGTCTTTTCCTCTTTTATTCTGTCGTTTTGTCTTTCTTTTTTGTTTGGAGCATTGTCCACGTGTAGACGAATAATGTGTGAGGCGATTTGCGAAAAGGGTAGAATATTTGTATTTTTGCATCTGTCTTATATTTAAATGGGAGCTGGTCCAAGCTTCAACAAAGTGAAGAATGCAACAATAAGCAAGAAGTGTGTGCAGAGATGTGTAAATAGCAAGTCAGTAATGATTGGGATTTAAAATAGAAAGGTAAAACTGGCTTTGTTTATCCCAACCCCTTCCTAACTTCAATCAAGAACTTCCATTTCATTATACAATGTCATAGTACTATTGATCAAGGAAATCACCCAAATTCATTTTTCTTCTCTTTAGAAATGAAATAATTCCTTTTTTGCGGTTTATTTCTGGTGGAAAAAGTGATTAAGAGATTTCCCCTCCTAATCCCTGTAAGAGAGTTCTTGTGGTTAAATTTAAATTTAAGCATTAAATTATTTTATTAGACCTTTAGATTTAGATTATGCACTTGAGGACGTGTACTAAGATAGCAGCGCAGCCACTTGAGCAGAGATTTCCCACTGCTCACGGTAAGGGTGTGTGGAGACTGGCTGTGTTACTATCTCTGTTCCCTCACGTGTTCTGCATGAAGCATACCAGTTCAGGCCCTCTGTGTAGACTTGCAAAACAAGAAATTCTTTCATCCCATACTCAGTCAAATAACTCATCACCAAATTAGTTCCCAATAAAGCAGTAATGGTTTTTGGACACGTGCAATCGGAGGTATGTAAAAAAGTGAAGGGGGGTTAAGGGTGATAGTGGGGGGAGAAAATTGATAGGGCTCTGGTGTAGTTATGTGGATTTAAGTAGAAGCCGTGTGAAATGAATGTGTATAGGTGAATCTCTGTTACTGTATGTATACTGTTTGCTTGTTCTGTTCGTACAGTATGTGTTTGTAAGTTTCTCTGTATGTATAACATCTGCTTAGATACAAGAGATTTCTGATAAATTAGACAGTAAAGAATGATCATATTTGTATCACATATGCGTCTTTAATCACATTAAGCGACAAACTGTATAAACATTAGGCTTTGCCTGTTCACCCATAGATGGGAACTAATGTGAGACAAAATGAATGTGAAACAGAGCAATCTAACAGCCCCATGAAGACAGCTAAAGGCATTAAGAACCAATCAGTAGCACAAGAAAATTAATTTAATAAAAGAGTAGGGAAATATATATAAATGGAAAGAAAGATAAAGGGAAAGATATTAGTTTTAGGAGGAGTAGCAATTTATTTGTAGTAGCTGAAATAACCCTCACACTGTTTAACTGCACCTGAGATATCCCACTTTACAAAATAAAATTATTGACTCTGTCAATCTTAAACATTTTATGGCTTTTTTGATGTATTCATTCATGTCTAATTTTAGATTTTCTTGGGCTGCCTTCATCTTGCATTAGCTAAGCCCCATATTTAAAATACTACGGATACTGTATAAACTCACACATGATGAAAGTCCTTGATTCTAAAGCATTAGATTGCACCATTCCTAACTGCAATGTATAGTTAAAAGAACCAAGACTTGTTTGTAGATGAAGCAATATTTTTCCTTTTCTGGGCCTTGAATTTATTTTATTATTTTAAAATAAATGTTATGTAATATATCACAGTGCAGCCCTGAATGTGAATTCCACTACAAATTTACAATTAAAAGGAATCTTTGCAATTACATTTTTTCTCTCTAAACTTAATGAATTTACTACATTATTGGAATATGATGTTACAGCAGAAATCTTAGCGGAAGGAGCATTTTTAAAACCTTTTCAGCTGCTGGGCCTTCTGTTCCATAACCTTGACTGCACAAGTGCTAGAACACACTCTGTATTTGATCAAAAAGGAGTCTGAATATAATATTAAAAACATGAATATTAATATCTCAAAACAACTCTACTCATTTAAAGAGTCAATAAACTGTACATCTTGGCAGGCCCTCTCATGAAGATCCAATGGATATTACCATTAACCTTAATGAGAACAAAGTATGCCAATACATAAGTATGTGCTTGAAAATGTGAATTTACAGAAATATTATTCTATATCAGGAGATGCTACCAAATGGACAAATTCTATATTTTGTTTTATGGAAATGATACTCAATACCTTTACCTGTTGCAATGCACTGCGCTGGTGTATTGCAATGAAGAAGATGGGGAGAGCAACACATTTATAAATCACAAAGTAGCATGAGTCCTATATCATGGTCTATTTATACTATACTGTTTGGGGTTATCATTTTGTAAAGAGTAAATATATACAGAAACATATTTCTAGCTCTAATTATATTTTTACTTACATTATAAGCTCTTGCCTCAATGCTCATGTTTTTCATGCCTTGCAAAAGTATTTAAAGTGTAAAGCCATCAAAATGTTTGCTCTATATTCAACTAATTCAGGTTTGAGCTGAAAAAATGAATATCAGACAAAAATACAGAATGTCATGATTTAATTGTGGGTATTTCTGAGCATATATGTTTAAACATTTGAGAATAACACCATGTGTTGTGTTGTGTTCCCCCATTTCTGGTGAGGATATGTTCTGGGACAAATTACCCTAAAGTAAATTAAAGTAGTATAAAACAACATGTGTTTGCAAATCCCTTGCACACATCAACTGCATCAAGCCTGTAACCCATTGGAATTGGTTTGTTCTTCTGAGATGTTTTTCCAAGCCTTTGCTGTAGCCATTTTTAGTTGCTATTTGTTCTTGGGGGTTTGTGACTTCAGTTTGCTTTTAAACAAGTGAAATACAGGCTCAACTGGATTTAAACTAGGAGACTGGTGTGGGCAGTTTTTCCTATGGTTGGCTCTGTGGTTGCATTGGCAGTGTATTTTGGGTCATTGTCTTGAAGCCGACCAACGAATCTAGAGATATTTTCTTGTACACAGGCAGACAAGATGTTTTTATACACTCCTGAAAGCCATTCTTTTGCTACATTCATTAGTTACATCATCAATAAAGACGAGTTTGCCAGTTCCAGAGGCAGCCATGAAGATGAAGTGGTGTTGTATACTTTGGATCATCTGCAGTTTGTTCCTTTCTCCACACTTTCTCCTTGCCATCACTTTCCTAGAGGGTTATCTATCCTCTGCCCATAACACCTTGTTCCTGAGCTTGATTATACTGTACAGCAAAGATAACATTTTTTACTTTACTGTCCCAATACTTACAGTATGTAGTGCACTGCACCTACATGAGTAAAACCAACATATGGAATAAAAAAAGATTTCAGTTAATGAGAAGAAAAGGAAGTTAATGCCTCTGATATCTGTCAAGCTGTTTAGTGGATATTTTTTTCAAATGCGAAAAAGCATCCTTAAGCCACTGTTAACATACAGCTGATGAGCAACATCATTTCAGTTAGTAATTATTGCACTAATTAGGTGTTTGTACTGCCTTCTGGTGGAAAGCATAATTTATCTGGTACCATGTTGCTAATTAGAGTTTATATTTAATTGCGATCAGCGATAAACATTCTTGTACGTGGGCATGCAAAAAATCCAGCAAGGTTTTTATTCTCACTCATTAACAATAACGTGCATCGCTTTTTAATTTTTAGCACTGGAAAAAAAGAGGAAGGAGACTGGAAGTCAGTCAGTTTGGACCACGTGATGCAGAAATGCATCCCTTTCCCCATCGCAACATTGTGCAAAGCCATTGCGGGTGTCAAATCTGTCACATTTGGCGTGGCTGTTTAGTATGCATGAGAGCCAGCACACAAGCTTTTCTGTATCACAGCTTTTAACGGGTGGTCTTCTCATCAGAGTATATTCTAATCTAGGTCACTTGCAGTCTTCCTACCATAAATCCATCTGTCTGCATGAATGATCCAGTAAGCATGCTACCATGGTTAGAGAAATTCGCTGCCATGCTTGGAACATCATTAAAGTCTTCTGGGGTAAGTGCAGTATAAATCATATACATACTTACATCCCTCTGCCATCCATGGATATAAATAATCCTGATTACTCTTAAATGTAAGTTAGAAGAAGCAGAAAGTTTGTGATAATCATCGCCAGGTCAAGTGTCTGTGTGGAAATACTGCTGCTTCCACATTGGCTGATGAATCTGCCTTGTTCTTCTGTTTCCTTTTTCATTTACGCTAACAAAATAGTCTAAGGTACCCAGAAATGTATAAACTCATGTACCCCCACAATATCATCTTTTTGTGAAGGTTCACAAACTCCAAACATGGCTTGGAGGTCCAAGGTGCTCTGTATACCCTACTATGGGGGGTTTCAAGTATAACTGTAATTCTTGAGATGTTATGTAGTGAATGTTTATTGATCAATTTTCGCTGTGAATCCTTTCATTACAATGCGCCAGTTATAAAGGCTGGGTGCAGTTTCTCATTGTAACAAAGGAAAAAAAGTTGGATTCCGACTGCATTTGACGCTTTGAATAAACAAAAATAAATACCACAATGGTTGAAGTAGTTCAGGTGCATCATCTTGCATAGTCTGCAAAGGTGTAATTAAATACTATTATGTAAAAGAACATATTTCTCCACAAGCAGAATCTTTGCATAAAGCTGAAGTGTTCTTTTCTAATAAGAGTGTATGTATACAGAAACAACTGTATATCTAGAAGGTTAATCTTATGTAAAGTTTAGAATTTGAAAAAGTAAATGGAATTATATGCTGTTTTTCAAATCTGTTTGAAATCTTTTCTCTGTTTACATCATGGTAAATAGCTTGTGGACTGTTGATCACTGCACATACATTCACAATCATAACTTTCAAAAGTCATGAATTAAATTTCATTTTTACTAATGTCAAACAAAATTTTGCTATGTTAAATTATTAATGCTATATTTGACAAATATAACTATGATGGCCTGCTGGGCACAACTTAATAGAATCTTTTAAAATAGGCAGTCCCAGGACAACAGACATACTGTACCAATACAGGCATTAGGGTAAGAGAATAGTGTTCATTACTTTACAATACAGGGAAAATAGTCACTACAAACCAAAACATCAGAACAAAAGCCTGAGAGCACCTTTTGTGCTCCTGACTGAACTTCTTCAGTCCCTGACTGTTATAGCCAGACAGATAAGCTGCTTTCCTCCCTTAAAACCAACAATTCACAAAACTTCAGTCTCAGTCTGAGACTACCAAACTTACCAAACTAAGTCTCTCACCAAGACTCTCTCCGAGACTCCTCCAAAATCTCAGATTCTCACTGTCCACTGCCCCATGATTGGTTTTTCTCCCTCTGGTATATTGAACACACCATTCTGGCATCTCCATTCTGGCAACAAACAGACCCAGAAAGTCTCCACGTCCTGCTTTTTAAACTGTCACTTGACCGATCATCTTCCCACCACTGGTCAGGTGACTGAGGGCAGCAGCAGCTCATTCCCCAAAGGCTTCTGGGAAATCTGGTCCAGAAAAGGCTGCCATGTTGTATGAACTGGCTGTGCCCTCACAATCAAAATACAGTGATATTTTTATTCCTTGGAAAATTGCGTTTATGAAATGTCTTTCTACCAAATGTGGGAACACTGGAGACTAGTAGTTAGGGCTCTGGACTAATAATGAAACATTGTGTTTCTAATGGCTATTACTTATCCTTGAGAAAGGAACTTCCTTCAAACTGTATAAATAGGGGTGAGCCGAATTAATTAATCAACAGTGAAGCACCAACCAGAGATCCCAGTAGAAGTGCATTTCAATTTCAAAAAAGAGGCACATTTTTACTCAAAGAGCTGTGGGGGGGTATGGAGCAAGCTACTGTACCTAACCATGGTGTTGAAGCTGAAACCTTGAAACACTGGCCTCCTTCGAGAAACAGCTGGATCCTTGGATCAGTCGTCCACTAACGACCTCACTGGGCTAGATGGGCCGAACAGACTCCTTTTGTTTTTTAACCTTTCTAATGTTCCTTTGGAAGCTCCAATATTCTGATTGAACAAAGGACGTGGCAAAGGGTGCAAATGTTTTGGAAAGATTAACCAAAAAAAAAAGAACCTTTGAAATGATGAACTTGTATCACTGACAATCTACTGTTTTCATACTATTGCTGTCAAGGAAAAATCAACTTGTTAAGTACACACAGGGCTGAGAGCCATATTTAACCTCAGAGAGATCCTGAGTCAGCACTGGAGGAGAATGTACTGTACATAGTCCTCAACCTGATTCGACTGATGCAGCATTGGGCACCTTGGGTAAAACCAAGTATGTACAGTAAGAAGGACAATTCCAGGTTTGAGAGGTCTAAAAGAAAAATGATAAATCCATTTATTTTAAGTGCTTACCTGGAGCTTTACATCAATTGTTATCTTCAGTCCTCTTTTTCCGCCAGTCTTTAACATAAGATACACAACTTCTAGTAGGCAAAAGGCACAAAAAAAGCTGTGACAGCAACTACAGTATGTTCCTTTCCTCTTTTGAACATTCTTTCATCTGGTCATGCTGGTACTACTGGTACTGTAGATTCAAAACTCTGATGAGCATTAGGTGTCAGCTGCTTGTTTTGTCTGGTGCACGTACAGTGAGTTTCCTACAGGACTTTGCCACGCAGATGATAACCTAAATGAGGGGGGGACTAATTCCGTGCTTGGAGGTCCAGGTGCCAGGTGCAGAAGATTTTATAGTTCTCTCTAAATTAGCAGCACCTTAAAAAACAGCAAGAGTCGCTAACCTGCTCAAGCTAAATCAATAATTTGTTGGACTGGGGTATTACCAAGTGAGCAGGAATGACAAGCTGGCTCTGCAGGACTGGATGTAGACATCCTGATCTAAATAAACAAAGGGGACATACCGTAACGGCCCCTCACATTTTTGTGTTTTAAGGGGGTGGGTCTTTGGGGATATTGGGTTTAAAAGAAAATAAAAGCATTTAGTTTCTTACAAAAATTGGAGCAAAGTGACATTTTGATGCCTCAGTTCGGCAATACAGTACAACACAAAATATGTGTACTGTACCTTTCTACACCCACTGCCCAGCTTACTGTACTTAAACGTTCAGTTCCACAAGTCTAACTGTAACCTGGGTCTGCTGTAAGTCAAAAGTGACTCTTTTGTAGCTTTTATGAGATTAAACAGAGAGAATTACCAGTCATTGTATTGCAGTGCGTCCTCTCTTACTCGCTCTAGGTGTGTCTGTGAGTGAGGCAGGAGGGACAGGAGGGCTGGACTGCAGGCTCAACAGGGTCTGCTGTCCTTTCATGGTTAAGAGGTGTGTGGCTGATCAAGGAGGGGTTAGAGAGGAAGAGAGAGGATGTAGCAGCAGTTCGCTGGCCATGAGGTAGAGAGAGATGGGAAACATGCCCTGTTTTTACAGGGGGAGAGAAATGAAATAACCATGAATGAAAAAGATCATTTAAAAACCTGGTTGTTAGAATTATTCATCACAGCACACAATGAAAAGTATAAAGTACAGTAAAAACATTAGAGAGAATTAGTGGAGAGAATTGTCTAATTTGTGTAAGTTAAGTCTTGTGTGACCCATGGAAAGGGTGTAATCACTGCTTTACTGTACAACTCCGCCTGACAAGTATTTGGTCTCTTTTTAGACTGTATTAGTACCACACCCCTTTTCACTACAAATCTCGATGGAATAATTTAACAAAGTACTTTTGTGCAGTACTTCCTAGACTGACTTTGTTTATTGTATATATAGTAATATCTTGGTGTACTTTTTTGTTCGTTGTTGTTTTGTCATAGGCATCTGCTCCTTATTTGGGAACAGCACGCTGCTGTATGTTTCATACAAAAAAAAACATTTATTGAAGCCAGCCGAATTTTTCATTATCAACCTCGCCATCAGTGACCTGGGAATGACTGTGACTTTATATCCTCTAGCAATAACATCCAGCATATCTCACAGGTAAGCTATGTTTTCTCAATGTAAATACATTTGCAATGTGCAGTACCTATCATGAAGCAGAAGCAACAACAGCTTTTTTAAGTAATAGATTCACCCCAGCTAAGGAACTGAAAGCCACTCATGATAATATTACAGTTGAACCAGTGACCTTGAAAGGGACTCGCAGCTATTCTTACAGATTGAGACAATAGATAGAAACTGTGGAAGGTCACAACATTAATAAAGCCATCTCGGTCAATGTCATCTTGGCTAGCAAACCAAATGAAATGTATTGCTGATTATTAATAATCATTTTTTGAACTAATATAGTGCTTTTTCTGGACACTCCACTCAAAGCACTTTGCAGGTAATGGGGATCCCCTCCACCACCACCAGTGTGCAGCCCCACCTGGATGATGCGACAGCAGCCATAGTGCGCCAGAACGCTCACAACACCAGCTTTCAGTGTGGAGGAGAACAGAGAGATAATATCAGTTCATAGTTATTGCAGTTGCAGAAATAAACCCTGGCATCAATGATCTAAAACCAGTTTACTTGCTATAATTTTAGATTTTATTAAGTAATTATATATAAATTTAATTGTTATATTTATTTATCAGTGGTACCTGTTCTTTGTTTAATGAACCCATATGTGTCCTTACAAATGGACATGAACAAACTAATTTAAAACACTGGGTGTCTAGAGCTTAATAGATGCAGCTTTGTAGATATGAATGGAGTTGCACACAAGAACTGGCATCCTATACCCTAAATTAGAAGATGGTTATAAAAGTTCAATTAGTTTAATAACAATGAAGATGGCTGCGTACGATATATTGCTGAATTCTATGCTGACTTTGTGTTCCTCATCATTTAATCTACAGAGCCCGGAGCTGTGCATAAATTAGATATCTTAAAAACTATCACCTTGTTTTATTTTAATTGGATTCAGGAAAAAGAAAGAAAACATACAAGCTAGTGAGTCTGCAGGTTCAACAAGGATAATAATAACATTAATTATTATTATTATTACTGCTAAGGGGCCACAACACATACAGTAGATGTAATTCGGAAATTGTAATAATGAAATGTCTTAGAATTAGTAGTCATTTGCATATGATGATCTCTATGGCCTTGAATGATAAAAACCAGGACAGCAGAGAAAGGTTCAAAAACTGGAGTGGTGTCCCTTTATCTGCAGCAGAGTTGTCTCAGTATCTCCAAGCTGCTTTTGTTATCAGTCTATTTAATAGGCTTAATGGAACATAGGAGGATCTGTTTGCAGCCTTTTTATGTGCTAATGTTCCAAGTGCAGTAAGTGAAACACCAGAGCCCCACAGTGTCACAATGACCTGGATAAAACACAGTAGATATGGCACTGCTTTTTTTCTCCCTTTCCACTTCACAGCATGGAATTAACCTCCGTGTGTTCCTAAATAGAACAGTCATGTATTCGCAATTACCCTTCACACAGAAAGGCGCTCTGATAGGGAAAAGGCAAGAAAATCAATGCCTACACTGTAATCAGTACTTTATGAGAAATGGGTAGCTACACAGGGAGAAATGGCTCAGGCAGAAGAAGAAAAATAAGAAGAAAACAAGATGACAGAGTGATTTACCACACACCTCGCAGCTTCTCGAAGGTCAATATCACCACGTCAATAAAGAGACTTTCCTGACAAGGCAATATGATTGGGAAATTCAAAACATTTCTTCATGGAAGATAACTGTCCAAAAACACCCAGGTTATATACTTACACCTAAGGACAGCTTTCAAGAAAAATGAAGAGCAGGAAAACAGGAATGTAAAAACAAGCATGTTTAGGCGTCTGTTTATTCATCCATCCGTTTCCTAACAGCCTCTTGCAATTCAGGGTCGCTGGGGAGCCGGAGCCTATACTGGCAAGCAACAGGTGCAGGGCAGGATACACCCTGGATGGGACAACAGTGCATTGCAGGACGCACACAGCCACAAATGCACATACTCACCCAGGGCCAGAAGCTAATTAACCTACCAGCTTGCCTCCGGACTGTGGGAGGAAACCAGAGCAGAGGAGAACATACAAACTCCACGCAGACAGCACCAGGAATCGAACCCGGAGCTCCAGCACTTGCGCCCATTGCTTGCCCAGATAGGCTCTGGCTCTTCCTGCGACACAGTACTGGATAAAGTGGTGAGAATAGGGATGGGTTTGACTACTGATTAAAGTGAGCCTAAATGAATCATTAACAGTTTTTTTTCCCCAAACGGCAAAGAACAGCTGATTTGGGCAAATTGCGCACTTCTCTACCTGTGGTGCTGTGTAGTGGACCTGCTGCTACAGAATGACTGGCAGACCTCACCCAGGCGGGTGCTGTACTCCTGTCGAGGAGGAAGCTCTCCTCCTGCATGTGCATACTTTGAGATTCTGTGTTAATGAAAAATGCGAGAAAAATGCAAACAAGTGATTAACGAATATTATTCGGTGTCCAAAAAGAGTGGCACGGTGGTGCAGTGGCTAGTATTGCTACCCTGCAGTGCTGCGTCCCCTGGCTCTAATTCCTGAGGTGCTACAGTATGTGGGGAGTTTGTACATTATCCCCGTTTTTGCAATCCAAACACCCACTGGTGGGTGAATTGGTTTCTGGGAAAACTGGCCCAGGTGTGAGTGTGAGTGTGCGCGCGTTTGTGTCTGTGTGTGCCCTGGGATGGACTGGCGTCCTGTCCAGGGTGTGCCCTGCCGTGTGCCTGTTGTTTGCCTGGCTAGGCTGCAGACTTCCCCTGAATTGGAAAAAATTGATGGATAAATAGATGCCACTACTGCTTTTGCTTGGCAGAAGCACACTAACCTATATATGAATGTGCCAGCTCAGCAATGCACACGGGACCAGGGGCACACCGTGACGAGCTGCTTCACTGAGCAGGGAGAAGCATTAAGGCACACGTGTGAGTGTTCGGACCAGCTATGACAAGGCACTTGTTTAAAGCAGTGTGCGGCCCAGCCCTCTCAGTATGTAATCGCATGTCTGCTCTGTTTACTTACAAAACCAGTGGTGGCCTTTTCTGCATTGTATAGTATGTAGCCTAGAATGTAAAATCAGGCTTTTTAACAATTTTGTTAATAATTGTTGTTTGCTGTTTGGATGTATTTATTTTTTATGTTCACTTTTTCATGCTAATGCTGTGTCTTTCCAGCCTTCTAATGGCAAAGCCACCATGGGCCTTGAACTCACTACATATGGAGTAAAGGAGGGCAGATAATTTTTAAAATAAGCTTGCATTATAATCATCACCTGTCCTGAAGAGGTCATGCATTAGCCAAAATAACACAGATCTTAATTTAATCAGAAATAATTGGATCTTTTAAGTAACTGAGGGCTTGCTTGGAATGAAAACCAATAGACCCATTTGACCCACAGGACCACGGCTGGTGATCTTTGATTTGCACTAACAGCTTTGATCTTTGATTTACACTAACAGCTAATGGCTGAACTCTTTCTTTTGTTGCAGGTGGCTATATGGAAAAACAATGTGCTTAATCTACGCATTCTGTGGGGTGTTATTTGGAATATGCAGTCTTTCAACATTAACCCTACTTAGCATTGTGTGTTGCATGAAAGTCTGTTATCCGCTGTATGGTAGGTATGTTTTTACCTACTTGTTATTTTGCTGAGTCTGATTTTGTGTTTAAGGCAGGGGTGTTAATCTCTCCAGGTGTGCCAGATTTGATTTAAAGGTGCATTTCTGAGATACATTAGGATTCTGCTCTGCAGGTCTTTATGTAAACTGAATTTTACATAAGTCAGAAATGACCCTTTCTTACCCACTGCATGAACACATCTAGAGATGTACCATTCACGATACTGCAGCGATTTTCCCTTATTTTCTCCAGCTGTGCTGGTAGGTGAGTAAGGAGAGACAGGAGAGCAGAACTGCAGGCTCACCGGGGTCTGTTGCCCTGCGGTGGTTAACAGGGGTGTGTGCTGGCCAGGTCGAGGCAGAGGGAAAGAGAGAGAGAACATAGCAGAATGCCAGCAGTCCAGGAGGTACAGAGAACAAAAGGAATATTCCCTTGTTATTACAGAGGAAGAGAGATTTAAAAACTTTGAATAAAAATGTTGTAACCCTATTTTAGGAATAATTACAATTTTAATACAACATACACTTAATATAAGTATATTAAACATTGGAGAGAGAGATTTACCTTTTGACAAAATTATATATACGATGTCATTACCTTACACTCTTGAGTAATTAAACACAAATTTAAATACTCAATAATAAATCTGCTTCCCTGACATGATTACAGTATGGATTACTCACCATTTCCAATGACAGAGCACAAGATAATATGTGGAGGGTGCCACACGTGTGAAAAGAAAGTGAGACTGAAGAGTAAATTGAATAATGGTGGTGTGACCACATTGCACTAACTCCATGCAGAAGGACCTCACCACACTGCTTGATCTTTACATCATACTTGTCCCTATTGGAGAGCTGCAGGGCAACTTTGTATTGCCATGGCAACTGCCCACTCACACTGGTTGCCGTGGATATGTAATCAGACAGGAGACCTGTGCCACCTGGGAACAATTTAAGACCACTCCCACCTCAGGTGGTTCAGGTAATTTAAGGTTTCCTCTGAGTGTGCTCAGCACTCTGGTATAGGGTTTACTTGGAGCCTCTCAAATGCTTTGTCTCAGCTTCCTGTGTTCCTGGACTCCTGTAGTTTCCTGTAGTTTCCCCACTACATTTGACACTATGCCTTTTTGATTTTCCTTTGGGCCTTGTTAATGTATTTATTGCCAGCTACATGTTTTGTTTTGTTGTTAATTGCATTCTCTTGCTTGTTTATCTTGCATGCCCACCTTGCTACATTACCACTCTGCCTCTTACCTCACCTACTACTGGGTTTATCTCTCAAACAATGAAATTCTGCTTTCCACAACTCCAAAAGTTTATTATGGGGCCCGTGGGAGGTCTTTACTTAAAGCTGGATCTTATGTAACCCAGGGAGTGGGTGTACTTCAAGCAGACTATGCAATCTGTACAATAACTTACTAGACTCAACCATTGCAAAGTATCACTTCTAGTGTTTTGCATTTTGGCATCACTAGATGCCAATTTAACAAAACTTACTAATTACTCTCTTAGTATGAGATTTTTAACATAAATGTAATTACTTAAAATATAATAGTTTTGCTTATTACACATTATATAAATTTTCTTTCAAAAATATATCCCAACCCCTTGAATGAATGCTAGATTTATGATTTTTTGTGACAACTATGCGTTTATTTCAAAACCTGTTTTTTGCTGTATTTTGTCAACAACAAAGGCTCTTGTGATCTCCCTTGGTTATTTTCATTTGTGAATATCCTCCTTATTTTTAACAATAGTTGGCAAAATGTGTTTTCAGTGCTTCAGGTGTTACAAAAAGCAAAGTAAATAGGGAAAACATTTCCCCTGTAAAACTTTCTATAACAGCTTTCTGAACTAGTTATAGTATATCTCATATAACTCTCACAATTATATGTGATACACTAACATCATACAGTATATCAGAAGAATATCACGTTATAATGAGCCTGACTAATTTGCCAAAAGACACCAAAATCCTGAACAAATCAGTTGATCCAGAGCAGCCTGCTCCAACGGAAAACCCACCCACCTAGGGATGGCCATGACCTCCAGCCAAGAAGGCCCAGTCAGCTGCAGTAGGTACAGTAATACAGGAGCCTCCTCGTGACTCTAGGCCTCTGACAACCTTGCCTAGTGCACCACCTCACACTCAAGGCAACATCCTTTACAGTTCACATAGTCTCTGGAGATCTCTGCAGAGCTGCTCCTTTCATGCTTCTTGGAGCAAGAAGTGGACACATGTACTGCACATCCCTCAGCACATTTCTTCAGCTGCGCCGTTCACCTGGCCAGAGGAACTGACTATCATCACAATATTCCTCTAAGGAGAAACCGTGACTGACTGATGGCCGCACAATGTCGCTTATATTCAAAGAATACTCGTTCAGCCTCTCAAAGTAGGGAATGTACAGTACAGTGGATGTTTTGGTGTTAGTGACAGCATGAATAGAGTGAAGCAGATGGATATAAACTCTCGCCAAATGGCATCCAGTGTAAGCAACTTTGTACGATGAGGATGAATCAATGTAGTCACATAAGTCTCAGGTCTACATGAAAATACTTTGGCACATGGCCTAAGGTCCAAAGTTATCAAGGAGGGGGCAATAGCTAGCACACAGAGAGGGGTCCTTTTCTTTCAACAGTAACAGTGAAACGATGGTAGTATTCAAATGGCTAATAAAAGGCATCTCACTATAGCCCTGCATCATCTCCACTAGTAATAGTAGCAGCCTGTCCCGGAAGGGCGAACATGGGCAGTATTCCATCAGACCCGTGGGAATTGGCTTTATTCATGTTCTGTAGCGCCTCTTCTAAATCCACTCTGGAGCAGTGCTGACGCTCCCTCTTGAGGCTGTGTTCAGAACATCTGCAAAGTGTCAGGTCAGAGTGGATTACCTGGTGATCTAAACTGATGATTGGTAGTACGTCCATTTTGCAAAATTAAAATAAATGTTCATGCTAGAATAAAATAAATCATAGATAATTCATATATGGCTGAAAAAACTTTCAGCTTAGTAAATGGCTTAATGAATCGCCACTTTTCAAAGAACCCAAGATCATATTTTTGATCCGGAGATTAAAATAATATTTTTAATCTGGAGATGAAAAACTTCAGTTGCTGTGTGCTGGGCTCTGCTATGCACACAATCTATTAAGAAGTGGGATACATACTGCCCTCATGTCAGCACAATAAGTAAACAAATTCAGAGATGTCCAATAATAGCGTGACCAGTGAAGTATGGAAACTTCACTGGTCACAGGGTTTAAACTCAAACAAGTGATTTGGTTTATTCCTTAAACATTTTTTGAAATCATAACCTCCCCCCTTCTCCACTTATTCCTGTACTCAAAACAAAATGAAGTTTTAGAACAACTGAACCAAAGCTGTCTGTTAGTTATTAAGTCTGTTAATATTAAATTTAACTTTCAGGATCATAGAAAGATCTGCATTACCATCCTGCTGAACTACAGCAAGAAAATCTGTCATTTACAATGCTTTCCAAAGACCATTCCTGTGGTCTGACCTGAGGAAACAGAAACTGTTTAATTCTGCAAAATAATAAAAAACGAGAGAATAAAATCACCTTCTAGCAGCACAGTGATCCAAAGAGCAAGGCCAAAGCCATGCTGGGGTGGCTTAAGGCTAAGTAAGTAAATGTGCCTAAGAGGCATAATGAAAATCTTGACTCTAATCCGTTGCAGAATCTTGAAAACTGTCGATTCTAAGCAATTCCCAAGCAACCTGAAACAGCTAGATCTGATCTACTGAGAAAAAAGTGCCAAACGTGGACACAACGTGAGACTTATCCAAAAAGAGCTGCATCTGTAACTGCTTTCAAATATACAGTATGTCCACCAAATGTTGTGCTAACAAATCTGAATACTTTAATTTAACATATTTAAGTTTCCCCCCGGAGAAGGCTCCACAGCCGAAACACTGTGTTTCTTTTCCTCTCTTTTCAGCGTGGAATAAACCTTTGCATTTTCCTTTGCATGCTGTCCCACCTACATGACATATTTCAATTTCTTCTCATTAGTTCGATTAACTGTTACTAACCTTACCGCCAGAAGACTTCAGTCAGGACATTCAGCTTTCGAATCAATTGTGAAGTTCAAAAAACGTGTTCACATCATTTTGTGATTTCGCAAAGTGGGACACCACAGGCAGGATCTGGACACTTTTACAAGGCTCTGTAGAAGCAAATAATAACCTGGTCCTTTGTTGTTTTGTTTTGACTTGGGTTTTATTTTTCACTGTACAGTTTATGCGTCTCGCTTGTGGATTTGCTTTCGCTGCTTTAATTTAGCGCTTATGGATTTTTCTGCGGGCTCTTGTGCCGGGACCGCTAGTGAACAACTCTTTTTGATGTGAGCGTTTACAGTTCGGCAGACAAAAACTCCAACAGAAAGTGCAGCTGAGTCCTCTACCCACATCACTCGGAGAAGCTTAATCAAGAGCTATTGGCCGAGTGTCAACATGAAGCGGAATCAGTTCGGCCACACGTTGCAGCTACAGTATAAGCACTGAAGTAGACTGACCCAGCCTCGGTATTGTCTCTTGTACACAAATAACTAAAGACGTAATTGAACCGTACGTTCTTTTGGGCAAGCGAGCTCATGAAAGGAAGCGGCAGCCCGACAGATTGACGTGCCCCTTACTCCTTCTTTCTCTTCCGTTGGCAGGAAACAGGTTTACTCTCGACCACGGGCGTTTGCTGATCGCCTGCGCCTGGGCATACGCGCTGCTGTTCGCGTGTTCGCCTTTGGCGCACTGGGGGGAGTACGGCCCTGAGCCTTACGGCACCGCCTGCTGCATCGACTGGAAGTCCTCCAACACGGACCCGGTGGCAAAATCCTACACCGTAGTCCTGTTCGTGTTTTGCTTCATTCTGCCCTGCGGCATAATCATTGCCTCTTACTCGCAAATCCTGATCACGGTAAAAGAATCCAGAAAAGCAGTGGAGCAGCATGTGTCCACCCCAACAAGAATGGGCAACATCCAGACTATCATTGTTAAGGTGAGTTAATGATCGTTTCTTATCACAGCCAGCTACCATAAACACCACAGACAGTAGAAACAGTGTTATGGACACATGGTTCTCTGTTGCATTTAATTTGTTGCATAGTTTACAGGAAAAAAAACTAGTATATTGTTGAGTTTTTTCAAATACACTGAGATACGGACTCAGATACTGTAGTTTCTGAGATCCTTCGTTCATTCAGGTTGATTTATTGTGCTTTGCTTCCAGCGTTCCTGTCTCATTGGGCTGCTGAGCATTCATTGATGTTCTATTCATCACCATCACTCTTTTGCTAGCCATGTGTCTCTATTCTCATTTCACCATAATCACTTGACAACTCAGTGGCCCATATTTGTTGTACTTTGGTTCTAATACTCGTGGTATTAGGACCAAGTATTAAGTACCCGGTCCTTTAATATTTTGTTTTTAACCGTTTTGAGAGCAACTCAGAAACTCGCTTTACTTTCTCAATTCAAAGAGAATATATTTCACAGCTCCTGAAAGCAATTGTCTGCGTTTTTCTAGTTCTCTTTGGAAGCATGTGTTCTAACTCAAACTCAATTAATTTGACACAATTCTCAAATAATTACAAAAGTTATGCGAACAAATGTTATACTGTATTGAAAGGTCTGGCAAACACATTAAAAAGGCTGCAGGTACTGTATAGTGCATTGTATCCCCCAAGGCTACCAAAGCCCCTCGGGTATGTGTGACTGCAATCGAGTGCAGGCAACCCCAAGACACAGCAGAGAAGTGAAACACTGCCTCACCCAACTGAATTAAGGGTGAAATGTAGTGAGGCCAGATCCTCTAACTACGAGTCCTAAACTATTTGCTCTTTTTTGCTGGTTTTCTTTTGATTCTCCCTCTTCTGATGCAGTTTACACTACACCAAAATGGTAGTTAACCTGCGAAATACAAAGTCCTCACAAGTTTATCCTAAGATTTCCTGAATTTGAAGTTGTCTCTTTAAGCCGTGGAAAATCACCCCCCCAAGATGGACAGGACTGATAAAGAACGAAACAAACAAAACAAACGTACTTCACTGGACCAATCCAAATGGAAAGACCCAGAATAACTTAGTTTGTATTCTCCCTGTACACCCTCAGACTTTCATATTTAGAGGCTTTTTAAATTTTTTGGGGGGAGAATGTACTGTACAATAAAACCCACGCCGTTGAACCTATCACTTTTATTACAGCTGATTCATTGAAGAAAACGGTTGCAATACTCAACTGTGAAAGGAAACAAATGCTTGTGAGCACATTTTAGAAATTAGTACGCTTTTGCCTATTTGATTTCCAATGGTTCAGGCAAATGACATGATAATCAGTCTGGGGCTGTACAAATACCATGCTGTTTGTTGTGCTGGCTGCTGCTTTCATTTCCACCCCTTTTGCAATGCCTTTAACCTATGGGTGCTATGTAATTACAGGTAGTTTTATAAGTGCAGCAATATGCTGGGGAGCTGCTTGAGGTTTCTGCATTTCCACACAACTCACAGGAAATAGAAATCTACAAAAATCTGAGCAAAAATTGCAGCAGCTTATTACAGTAACAAACCTACTTGGAGGGAAATGTTATCCATTCACATACACAACAGGTGTATTAGTATAAAAGCAATGATCGAAGGAACAAACACAAAGGGGGTATTATTATACAAATACAGAACAGTTATTCACATTCTTCATTTTGTGTCCCAATGGTAATGGCTTAATTGTGTGATTCATTTATTTTCTTTGTAAAGAAACTGTTTTCAGTTTGGACTTTTTTGGGTGCAGCCCCTGAAACAACAGCTGAGCAAAAGGAGAATATCTCCTTAGTGAGGCTCTTACTCTGGTGCTGGTTGTTTTTCCTAGTGCTTTAACTTCAGCAGTTTCCCATAAATGGAGGTTAATTCAAAGGACAGTGCGCTGTGTCCAGCAGGATTGATGTACAGAATTCGTTTCTGCTGTCCTGCCACTAGAGGGCGTATATACCTCCACAGTATATACTGTAGACTGTATTTAGATTCACGTGGGATGGGTTAGTTAATTAATCAGGTTAATTGGTGGCGGGTGAGAGTCATACTCTCACACAGGTGCCCATTAGTCCAGGCATGTATAGAAAGTGTTCCCTGGTGACAGCAGGTGTCAGGGTGCTAGAGTAGGTTTCCTTTGTGTGGACTGCAAACCTTGACTTGAGTCAAGTCCCAATTTCCCAGTATTTCCTTCACTAGAGGTTTGTTCATGTGCTCAGGCCTCACGAGCCACAGGAGGAGAGATCTCAGGTACAAACGACATCCATCCATTTTCTAATCACTTCTTCCAATACAAGGTTGCAAGGGAGGCTGAGTTTATCCCAGCAAGCAGCAGGTATTATTATTCAAAATCTTTACATATCATACAGATCTTATATGCAAGTTTGTACTTTTCTTACCCAAATCAGCCTCAATCACCTCAATCTAGCATGGGTCTGTCCTATCATCCAGATCCAAGGACAAATTCAATGGGAATAACAACATGCAAGAATCAAATACTTTGTGAATATTAATTGAATATTTTAAGTATACAGTCAGTCATAGGGGTTACATTCTTGAACCGGCTACGTAACCTGAATATTACGTAACTCGCCTTTTCATATTTCCATAGAATTTCTATACTGTCCATATCAAGCCTTAAACCTGTGGAAAAACTATGTGCTAGAGACACAATTTGATCTGTTTATATTATGTACAGTATACAAAATTACAATATTATCTATAAGATAAAAAAACTTCACAAAAAAACAAGAACAAATGCAGTATATAATTAATTGTTGCTTTTTATATTGGGTTGATAGTGTGTAGCAGTATAGGTATTATACTTTGTGTGTTTTATTTCCTTGCAGGACTTACTGCTGTTGAGAGGCCATATCACTGTGTTTTATCATAGTTCTATCTGTTGTCTGTTAGTTGTGTTGAAGACAGTTCCAGGTAAAGAAATGTTAAATATACAGAGTGAGGTCATCATCATTGTAGGAATAACTGAGCTTCAAACACTGTGTATATAAAGACCCTAATATTTATGACAAAACTACAGTAAGCATTTGCTGATGTGTATATAGTATATTATTTATGTTATACAGTATATTAAAAACCTGGAAAAGAACATGATTAAATGCAACCATAAAATGAATGTAATATTTGATAACATATACCTTAATGAGAGGCAATGCTTTGAGGCATGTGTTTGATCTTCTATCCACAAAATTAAAAGTTTTTCTATTTCCTCAATAACATCCCCTCAGTGCTTTGTTGTAGTAATTGATTTCACGGGGGCAGATCGCTGAGCATGTTCAATTATTCGTTTCCCCGGTAAATAACACCAGCCCACAGCGTTCAGGTGCAGTCTTGATAGTGAGTTGCCCTTTTCATATTTATGAAATAGATCCATTTTTTATTCTAGCATAATAATTTTATTGTTATCGCTTTCGTCACTGCACCAGGACTGCTCTTCACATCCGATGTTCGCTTGCTGTCCTTGGTTAGAATGAATTTATGAGATTAAATGCTGAGTTCAGTCCGGGATGCATGTTCTTTCACAGCCCAGCCACGTTGTTCAACACGACATACGGTAGTTCTGAGCTCCGTGCGCTTTGTAAAAGATTACAAGTGACTTGGAACTTTATTTTTTATTTTTTAATGGGGCTGCTGTGTACGTACAGTAGAAGTACGGTATACGTAAGTCATATATTGTGTGGCTTGGTAACCATCAGCAACATGTTTTGGCTAAGCCTGCTTGGTTAAGGGGGTAGCCTTCTGGCCATAGGATGAGGAGACACGGACCCCCTCAGAAAGAGACAAGCGGACCACAATGCAGAAACAGAGAAGGGGAGAGATGTGCAGTCACTAGGATAACATAGCATAATACAGCATTTAGAGTAAATGTGTGTGAAAATAAAATAAGCTTTCCAAATTATCAACTTTCAAATGTACTATATGTACAGTATGTTCTGCATGCTATATTTGTTACCAATACTTGTTCCTATAACTATACAGATAAAAATGAATAAATACAGCATTTACAGTATAAGGCCCATTTCTTCTAAAGTATTCCACAGCTCTTTACATATAGGGAAAGATAATCTTAATTATATACCAGCAGTGTTTACATCTGCCCATTAGTTGTGCCTCTAATATAAACTTATTTTCTGTTAACATGTTTTATGGCTTCTGTGTCAAATAATAATCCAATAAGCCCTGAAGTCAAGTAGCGAGGGAATGAAGCCACAGAAATCTTAATTACTATGCGATTATCAAGTCTCAGAAGCAGAATTACCTTGTGTGAACTGGCACTGTGCATTCCATGGTTTGAAAACATAGTAAACATTTAGACATTAGTAAGCCTAATGTCCGTTTTGCAATAAAAGTAGACAAATTGGACTACAGTGAGGAGAAAAATGCTTTGTTTCTACATAGCCTTAATGGGTTAATTTGTAGAAAAGGTTTTTAATTAAATTAATGCATTTCTAAATGTTTAAATTTAGATTCTAAAAAAAAAATCAAGGGCACTTGAGTAAGTGGCAAATAATTTGTGTTTAACACAATTATATTTTTAACATATGACCCTCTCCACTAATCCCAGACTAATCCTAGACTAATGCCAAAAGTTATCTAAAAACAGCAAACAGCAAATAGCAGAAACAGAAAAAAGTCTTTGGAAACAATGTACTGTATTTTCCTCATTCAATACACATGTAAAGTGCCTTGAGTCACAACCATCTTCATACATTTCCCTTGGTCCAGTAGTCTCCAGCATAAAAAAAGTTGATGAGATTGTGATGAAGTAGTCAGTTCCAGAGGGGTCTAAAAACATTTACAGTAGGTACAACAGAATTAGACAAAAACATGAAAAGCAATAGATGTGCAGAACAGGACACCTACCTGAGCAGGGGCATCTTCATGGGGATGGTGGAAAAGATGGTGTGGAGATGCCCTCTGGTCAGAGCTAATGCCAAACAAAGAAATATAGCCTTTATTTCCACAAAGGATAATTTATATTGCAGCAGGAATCACATCACCTAAGATTAGGTGTAGCAAAAGTTTTATTGAGTGTTTCTGTTTCCAGTAGTTACCCTCCCCCCAAAAAAGCAGCCATGACAGTTGGAAACAATTAGAATAAGGCAGATGAATGATCAGAAGCACGGATGGAGGATAACTCAGAGGAGAACCAAAGCTCTGTTTTTCCATTTGAATTAAGAGTTATGTCTTGGTGTAAGGATGAGAGTGATGACGAAAGCTAGAGAAGAGTTGGAATAAAAGATCTGTCTTGGGGTATAATTTGCATAGCATAGTTGAGGTGACCCAGCAAGGACAACGGTTCCTTTTTCGCATAAAACGTAGCAGACAAGTAGGTGGAAATATACAATTGAATGTGGTCAAGCGTGTTGTGGGGTAAAGTGACTGTACAATGTTTGGAATTAACAATGATTTCAGTGAATTCCAGGATTGTAGAGAGGGGACATCTGATGTTTCATCCCGGGCAAGAGGGACCCTCAGTTTGTTGAAAACCAATATCAAAGTGGATGAGACCTTTGCAGAAGGAAAGTTGATTGTGAGAAAATCATCAAGGAGACAAAGGAGAAATGGGAGCTTGTAGTTATGCCCCTACTCTTTTCGAGAAACACCCTGGGATTTTTAATGACCACAGGGAGTCAGGACCACAGTTTTACGTCTTATCCGAAATGTGGTGCCTTTTTACAGTATAGTGTTCCCGTCACTATACTGGGGCATTAGGACTCACTCGTACTGCAGGGTGAGTGCCCCCTACTGGCTCCAGTAACTGCTGGGCTTCAGTGGGGTGCCAGTGGTGAGTTGCAGGGTGATATGGCTGCTGGCCGAACGTGATGCTCTTCCTGCCTGGTTGCGAACCGGGTCCTTTCGTGTGTGGCGAATGTGATAACCACCACCTACAATCTTCTGATCCGTATTTGGACGCGTTATCCATTGCACCGCTGGCCCTGATGCTCTAGCTATTGATGATCTGAATCCGGAGTGATTCAGGGTAATGACGTAATTTGAAAGCCAGTTTGGGAATATCAATCGGAGTCGAGACGTGAATCAATAGTCATGTGAACATGACGCAGAGTATGAAGGAAAAGGACTATGAGGGCACATAGAGCAGCTATGAGCTTCATCGCAGAAACTGCCAATGTGAAGAACCGGCAAGAGAAGCATGAACAGATTGAAGAGTTAAAGTTGACATCCAATAGATTTGATGTCCAATGATTTCCAGCATTGAATGAGTGGCTTAGTTTAAAGAACACTTGTTCCTTGAGTTGTCACAAACCTGTCATGATCGTCAGCCCTCCTCTAGAGGGCGCTCCTACACTTTTTCATTGTTCCCACCTGTGTCCAATTCCCTTTCCCTTATTTAAACCCGGTGTCTCAATTTTTCTGGGCTCAGCTTTGGAAGATAGATGTCTGAAGGCCCGTCTATCCACCGGGCTCAGGAGCAGGCCGAGGGCACAGGCCTTTTCCCCAGATGTCCTGACCTCTGAGTCCGGGGCTCGGAGCGCCTTGTCCCATTATGGTTTTAACCTTTCGTATTCCTAGTTCCCCGTTCACCGTGTGTTCGTCTCTGGTGGATCTCCCGGCACCTGGAACTTGGACTGCGCCCTGATGTCCCCCTTTGGAGTTCCTTTTGGACTCGTTCGCCTGCGCTCATCCCTTGCACTGTCTTCACTGCCCCCTGCCCGTCATCCCGCCCATTCCTCGCCAGGTCTTCCCTGATGTCCTTCTCCAGTCACTTCCGGATAATACCGTGCCGCATAGGATCTTTAACAACACACCTTCACGGGGGTCAGAACCAGCTTTCGTGACAGAACCCGTCGCTGAAACAAGCTTTGGAAGTGACTGACTTAGACGGTGAAGCAGCAGAAGGAAAACGTGCAGGTATAGAGTAAGCTTGAGGACCCGAGGTGTCCTACACCAATAGCAGCATACTGGGAAAATCTATTGCGAAGCAAAGCAGCAGTAGTGAAACAGGGAAGATGCAGAGTTGTAGAGCAGTCCATGCAAAACAGGTCCATGTATACGAGGAAGAGAAAGGTATTACTTATAGTATTTCTAATGTTTAGGGGAGAAAAAGACATCAGGGTTGATTACAAATTACTGACAACTAAGGCTGATTAAACTTGGTGGTTGTCATCCCTCATGAACGTTCGTTATAAAATCCATTTAATCATCCATCCATTTTCTAATGACTTTATCCACTACAGAGCTGTGAGGTCAGCATGGTGAGCTATTTACAGTATTTTGATAATTCTTTAAATTTATACTGGCAGGTCTTGATGTTGTGGGAGTGTGAAACAATAGCTCAGCTATATAACTGAAACTGATCTCCTGTTTTTTTTTTTAAGAAACAGGTGGTGGAGATCCCTGGGTCAATTAGTCAGAAAATGAAAGAAACGTTAACTTTTGAAAACTGCTGCCTCAAATTATATCTTATAACAGTGTTGTCTCCCTTTTCTCAGCTGAGTGTTGCAGTGTGCATCGGCTTCTTCACCGCATGGAGTCCTTATGCGCTGGTGTCTATGTGGGCTGCCTTTGGCTCCATAGAAAATATTCCTCCACTAGCCTTTGCTATCCCAGCTGTGTTTGCTAAATCCTCCACCCTCTATAATCCCATCATCTATCTTCTGCTGAAACCCAACTTCAGGAACTTCGTGTGCAAAGACTGTGGAATTCTACAGCACATTAGTTCGGGAAATTGTTTGTGTATCAGGAGCTTGCAAAAATGTCACTACAGGTCAGTCATTGAGATCAGTTTAAAGTCCTTGAAAAGGAGAACTGGATCCAGTGCCCCCTCTGCTCAGCTGGGCCAAGAATGTTCTAAATGTACGTGTGAAAAATGCGACAACACTTTTGAATGTTTTAAAAACTACCCCAAAAGCTGCCAGGTGAGTGTCAACACTGTGCAATTTAGCCTTCAGGAAAGCACTTCCCCAGAGCCTAAACAGCAACCAAAAATGCGACAAACCTCCAAGAAATCTGTCCGAGTTATTGTCAGAGGTAAAAAGAGTTCAGAAATTGACAGCTTGGAGATAACTTTGGAGACAGTGCCAGCACACTCAAAAGCTGCTACCCCATAGTATTTTGTGCATGTATTTTCAGAGTGCTTTTATTTTTTATTTACAGATTTATTTTTACCTTGACCAGTGTAAATATTTTTTATGTGTAAATCCACTGTTATTTTTTATATTTATTTAAAGGATAAATACAAATTAATGTCTGCAGTGCCTTGCAATTGTATTAAGACCTTGTACATATTTTGTTGCTTTAAAGCTTGTGGTCACCTAGTAATTTGTATAAATTAGAATTTCTTAAATGCACAACCTACTCTACACATTCAAAGAAAAATGATATAAATAGATAATATGAAACAAAGGAAATGTTATTGCATACGTGTTCAAACCCTTTGCTGTGGCAAACCTAAATTAATTACGGTATACACAATTATCTTAGTAAATCACAAAATATAAGTATAGTGGCCTGTTTCTGTGCGCAATAATAGTGTTTCATATGATCTGAGAATAAATACACATACAGTACATCTGTAAGGTTCCTGGATCAGGTAGTACATTTCAAGCAGAGATTTTACCAGATGAAGGTGAAGGACTTTTAATATCAACTCAGGGATAAAGCTATATCAAAGCACAGATCAGGAGAACAACAAGAAGAATATTTCTAAGATAATATCTCCTTGAGCATGGTGATCATTAAGAAGTGGACCAGACACCGATTAGAATGAGTGACAAGAGAGTCCAGTGGCTAAGATAGTATAAAAAGTCCATGGTCTAGCAATATATTTGTTTCTACAAACCTTTCGCAAAAGGATTTTTAGTCAGACAAGACAAAATTGGAATTTGTGGGCTAATTGCACTCTTATATCTGACACAAACCCAACATAGCACATCACTTAGTCAATACCAAACCTACCTTCAAGCATTCTGGAGAAAACTTTATGCTTTAGTTCTCCATCTAATCAGCAGGGACCAGAAAACCTGTTAAGGCTGATGGGAACACAAGTGGAGCAAAGTACTAGTAATTCTTAGAGTAAAAACCAGTTTCAGACCTAAAACTGAGACAAATTCACCTTTTAGTGGGACAGTGATCCAAAGTACAAGACCAAAAGCTACACTGGAGTGGCTTGAAAATAAGAAAGTGAATGTCTTTGATTGACCTGTCAAAGTCGTGACTTGGATCATTTTAAATTCCTTTTGAAAGGACTTGAAAGCTGCTGTCCATAAGTGATCCACAAGCAACTTGAGTGAGCTTGAGCAAATCTGCCAAGACTAATGAATGAAAATTGCACCAGTTTGTGCAAAGTTGGTAGAGACTCACCCAAAAAGTCTTACGGCTGTTATTTCCATCAAAGGTGCATCTACCACATATTGAGTTTAGGGGTCTGATGACTCCTGCAATCAGCATATTTCAGTTTTTTATTCATTAGTTTTTGCCCACATTTATTGTAATTTATCTTATCCTAAGTCTTGTGTTTAAAAACGTGTATCCATCATTTTGTAATTTCACAAAATGGGACATCTTGGAAGGGACTGAATCATTTTGCAAGGCACTGTTTTTACGTGAATGTCTTACATTTAATGTGTACCATTTTCAAAATACTAGTTGTGAACAAGCAGGGAAATATACACTTTATTGCAAGGGGGTAAATTAAATCTTATTTAGGCCAGTTGTGATTATCTATTCAATATCCACAATTTGCTATAAGCAGAAACTTGTTTTTAAAATATATTAAATTATAACAATTAACAATTAACTTTGTTTTATCTTTAATCTGTGTATCAGGCCTTAATGAGATGAGCAGACTTTGTTTTTTTATTATAATGATTGCCCTCAGGTCTAAAGAGATTGAAATGTCAGTTAAAAAAAAACTACTTAGTATTTGTTTTCAGAGTAAAGGAAAACAATTAAATTTGAATGAGTTTTTAAGACAAAATGGATAGTATACTCATAGCTTATGTTTTTATAATCCATTCCAAAATGTTCTCCAGTTTTTCTCTCTCTGAATACCATTCACCAAAAATCCCTACATTATTTTATAAGTAAAATAAATTTAAAAAATATATTTTTCCAAATCTACTGCATATTGTCTCTAGTCTGACAGGCATTGTCACACTTTTATAATTAAAGTAAGTAAATTAAAAGCAAATTCTGTACTTTTGTAAAGAAATCTTTGAACACTGAGTGTTTTGACTGATTAGGAAATTCATTATAACTCATTTTTTTATTTTCTACTGCAGTATTCTCATTAACACTTTGTGTAAAAGGATGGTCAGATCCAGGTTAATTGTAAAACAGAGATTCTTACTGTTAAGGCTAGTTTTAAAAGTTTAGTCTTTTGCAATGTAGATCACACTCTCCTATTAGAGTTTATTGATGCTTTATTTAACATTCAGTAGTTTTTAATTTATTTGAATTTGATGCATAATTTCAGACTGGTTGTTGTGATCATTACTGATGAACATTTCCTGCATTGTTCTTTCTACCTCTGAATTTATTTCTTCAGTATATCATAAACTCAGTGACAGTAACAGAATTTTGTTAAGAAGTGACTATAACTGAAATGTAGTTAAATGTATATTTCTCTTGGCACTTTGCTCTTTTTCAATATTTTTATATTTTCAGGGCACGTGAGCACAGTATATGTGTCTTATGCAACGCGATCGAGATCGGTTTCATTTTAAGTACACATGCATGTGAATGTAAAAACAATATATTTTAATTGTGATGTAATATACTTTGAAATATAAATACTGTGTGGAGATGCTTCATTAGAAATTCTATCAAAATGTATTATTACATGCATCAGGGTACTTCTATAACACAATGCTGCCATGCTTCCTTTTAAGCCAGTAAACCATATTAAAAGATGGTTTTGCGTTTTCTGTGACAAAAATGACATGAGGAAATAACTGTACATTTTGTAAACACAATGCAGTATGTGGATTATCTCTAAAAGTCTTCTATAGAGCAAGATGATCCACTTTTTCATTAGGGTTGGGCCTCAACCGCTTGAGCCACTATGCCATACAATATGAAGGGGAAGGAAAATTAAAAATTAAAATCAGGACTTTTAGTGTAGCTGACAGTCATATACTGTTTATTAAGGGGTGGAACCAGCCAGTTTCATTAATGTATACCTACCAGATTCTGTCAAATTGGTGCCAGGGGCCATACAAACTCTCGTTAAGACGGAAGCGAAGAATCTGTACAATTCAGATGTAGAGCACACACAAACCTGTTAAATCAAGCCAAGACCCCAAGGAATCACACATGTAAAGACTATCCTCAAATGTGTTGGGCCATCATGCCAATGTCTGGCCCTGTCCCTGTGTTGTGAAGTAGACTGATTCTTTAGGACTCACTCCTGGATGGAGTACTCTTTCATCTCAGGACTGTCCCCAGCAGTGCTAGTGTATCCATAGTGCTGGGTGTATTGAACCAATCAGGATAAAGTCTGTTGCTCAAGGATATAACAGCAATGTCCAAAGTGTCTGGATGGGGTGATCTATCTGTAGTGAAGTGTTAAATTCAGCCCAAGTATTTACACTGTGTAATCAAGTCCAGTTTTTCTTGAATGGGCACATCTGGCATTAAGCCTACAGAATCCAGTGAACAGGTGTAGCGTTGAATAAATTACATGATGGAATACAGAAAAATAAGTCATGTATAAAGCATTTTGTTACAGTGTTTGTAGGAGACATTTGTATGTGCTTGTACTACAAGTTTTGTTCTAGAGTTTGAACAGAAGTCATATCTTCTAAAAAACTTAATCTGCAGTATGCCAACAGCAGAAAGATAAATGAAGTGTTACAAGGTTAAATTGTGCTTAAAGATGTGTAACTTTCAAAGGAAATGCTCAAATAATAATAAATTCAATAGTAATTTTTTCCAAACAAGCAATGGTTTCTAGGGGATCAAATTTTCTAGATTGTGAATTACCTTGGGAAGAGAAAAGATTAATTTTATAGTCACAAATTAAACATAAAAGACAGATTAAAAGATTAAGACTAAACTAGCTGTCGCTTTAATGCTCAGTCAACTACGGATGCAGTCAAGCATTCAGATGAATCAACAATACATTTTTTGGATATGCAAAGTAAAATTAGACATACACTTTCCATCTGTATTTTAAGAAAATGTGGTGAACATTGTAAACAAAAAAGAGAACCAGGCACAATATCTACACTTTTACATAAACACAAGGAAAAATGAGTATCACTATTTTTCCAGAAATGCTGATTTGTGCTTTCTCACTTAACCATGAACTGACTGCATCTTAAAAAATGATTTTCAACTCAAATTTTGGATGTTGATTGTTAAAATGTGAAATCTCAGCTATGCTGAATCTGGTATTTTTATTGTTTTTGAAGCATTTCCTCTGAAAGAATTATAGGATTTGACTCATGGTGAAAAATCCTGTAATGACCAGTGATATTGCTTTTAAAATGACAAATTCTGTGTTTTTGTTTCTTTTAGTGGTGCAATTTAATTTCCGTATGCTTTAGCACTTATGCAACCTGCAGTGTCAGTCTTTCGAGGTCAGTGGAAAACATATGAAGAACAGCTAAGTATTCAGCATCAACATCCATCATGAGCTATCTGTAGGTAATCTGAAATATCCACTAGTGGAATATCCACTAATGGAAACCAAACCAATCTACTGTACCACTTGTGTTTAAATAATAGACAAATATTTTTATTACTAAGCTGATAACCAAAATAAAAGTCAGAAGCTTGTACAGGTTGTCGGGGAGAGTACATTTATTGAATCTCATGTTCGGGGCATTTAAAACGTAGGAAAATGAAGCAAGTTTAACTCATGTTATTAGATGTGAGTGTGGCAGTTTGGTCCAAGTGAATGAAGCTTATGTATGTCAAGGTTTATTGTTATGTTTAATGCATGCAATCTGTAATGCCTATACGAACCCTAGATTTTTGTTTGAGATGATTTGATAAAAGATGTACCGTACAATGCAAAAGATTAATTGATACAATCTTAGTAAATTAGTTAATATTGCTGAATTTATAAATAGCCTGCATACAAAACAGCAGCAAGCACCACAAAGTACAGATCCTTAATAAACAAATGCAGGGAAACCTTTTGTCTTCTTTCTTTTGGAGAAAGATTTTTCATAGACAT